GTATAGTAGTATTTTGTTAGTCATAGAGAGCTTTGATTTTCTATTGAGAAGCCAATACATTTGACGATATTTCATGTCAAGTTGTTTTCTTTTAGTTTGGATGTGTTTTCTCCAAGTAAGCCTTTGATCGAAGTGGAGACCGAGAAACTTTCTTTCTGTGGCTGTAGGTATTTGCACGTTTTTCATTGTTACTTGTGGGCACATTTCGTGTCCCGCAGTGAATGTTATCTGGACAGACTTCGTTTGATTAACCGTTGTTCGCCAAGTAGTGTACCAGTCGCTGAGTAAATTAAGGTGATTTTGCAGGTTTTGAGACGCTGTTAGCGGGTTTTCACTAATAGCAACGAGAGCCACGTCATCAGCGAAAGATGCTATCTTGGTGTTTTCGGTTTCAGGTGTATCAGCTGTGTAGATCGTAAATAGCAGGGGCCCCAGGACACTGCCTTGTGGGACTCCGGATTTAATGGGACGATTTAATGCCGTTCACGAAATCCGAACCGATGATTTAGGGAAGTACTGTTAGTAGCTCACGATCTGCGTATATCCTTTGAAGCAAAAGTCTTTCCAAATCTTTACTGGTGACAGGTAGCAGATTAATGGGTCTATAAGACGATAGTTCTCGTTGGAGCTTTCCAGGTTTGTGTATCATTATTATTTCGGCGTATTTCCAAGTTGTAGGGAAGTAGGAGAGCCTTAATATGGCATTGAATATGGTGCATAGTAGAACGATAGCTTTTTTCGGAAGTTCTTTTAATATCTGTCCAGTGCTCAAGTCATATCCTGGGGCCTTGAGTGGGTTGAGTGGATTTATTTCTTCCTTCACTTCCTTAGGAGAGAAAGCTTTTATGGGCAGAGACATTTGGCGAGGGGTATTGAGGGAGTCTTTCATTTCTTCACCTTCATCATCTGGTTCCGTTTTGAAGACTTCAGTTAAGTGTGAAGCAAACATGTCAGCTTTTTCTTTGTCTGAGCGAGCCCACTGCCCGTTATGTTTTCGAATTGAAGGAACATATGCTTGTGGTCTTTTTAGTTTTTTAGTCGCTTTCCACAGTGTGTGATCGTTCGCAGAAAGGTTGGTGATATGGTGTTGGAAGGTGTTGTTTTGAGCATCCCTAAGAGCCTTCTTCAGTTCTCTGCTTAGTCTACTGTAGATATGTTGGTCCACAACGTTTCGTGACCTTTGGCAAATTCGTCTAGCACGACGTTTTTCGGCAACTAGTTGACGAATGTACACAGGTATGTCCGTGGTGTTTCTTTCAGTGTATCTGCTTTGCGGGGTTGATTTCCAGGCAGCATCCTGCACCAATCTGGTGAAGTGCTGCACTGCTTCATCAATGTCTTCTGGAGATTTCAGTCGCAGTTTGGGGTTTACATGACCTTCCAAGTGTTGCTGTAGTTAGTTAGTTATTTAGAGAGGGTGGGTTTCCCCATGCACCGCGACCAGTTTTGATCTATTGTGCTTCCCTCTATGATATTCTACCAGTCTCTTTGCCCTACCGATAAATGGTGCGTACTATCAGTCCCGCCGAGCAAGCGAGTTCGGCCACTTGCTTAGCGGTGTCAATGCTTCCCCCATCTATCAGAGGCCTTAGAGGCTATTGTTGGGCAGGAAACATCCTGGAATTTGACTCAGTGATCCCCTTTGGGGATATGAGGTTCTTTTACGTGCCGTAAAGTTACGACACGGGACTCCCGGAGGACTTGTTCCCTGAATTTTTCGCCCTTAAAAATTCGACGACCTCCGCCGGGTATTTGAACCCGCGTACCACGAGTCATGAGGTGGGAACGTTACCTCTAGACTACGGACGTCGTTAAGTGTTGCTGTAAGGAAGTCCAGTCGCTATTTCTTGTACTTAGTTTAGGAGGAAGTGATTATTATTATTATTTATTAATTACTGCAATTGAGTTTGCACCCGGTGGCAGTAGTCCTACCCCAGTACAGAGATACTACAGTAATAGCAACACAAAATACAGCAATACAACACAATACAATAACGTACAATACAATAAAACGTATTACCCAATACATCAAAACGTACATACAATAAAACGTAATCAAATACCGTAAGAACGTAAAATGAAATACAATAAAAACGTAAATAATATACAATAAAACGTAACTCAATACAAAACGTAAACTCAGTACAATCAACCAAACGACACACAGGATGTGCCAGTATTACATTCAGTCCCTACTTGATTTACTTGTTTGTACCATTTGTTTATTTTTTGATAACTTTAGTGCTCAAACTGATTATAACTGGGGTGTGATCAGATGTGAGGTCGGCGTTTGATTCTATTGTGCACTTGTTTCTTGTTATTTCACTTGTTACAAAAAAGTCTAATAAATCAGGAATTTTCTTGGGGTCACTTGGCCAGTAAGTAGGTTCTCCGCTAGTTAAGAAGTTATAGTTATTATTAGCCATTACTCGTAGAAGATTTCGGCCTTTTGTAGTGATAATTCTCGAGCCCCAGCTTGTGTGTTTAGCATTCCAGTCGCCTCTTGCTTTAAATCGAGTACCAAGAAATTGGAAGAAATCCTTGTATTCATCTGTAGATATACTGTGCCGTGGGGAATGTATATAGCAGTGATTGTGAACTCCCATGTGGAGGCTTTAATTTCGACGGTGGTTGGTTAAATTTTATCTGTTTGAAATTTAGGTAATTCATTGTGAGGGATAGATTTACGAATGATTATTATCGAGCCTCCATGGGCGGTGCCATCCGGTTGGGGAGTACTGTAGGTGATGTACTGCGATATGTTGAATGTTGTCCGTTCGGTGAAATGGGACTCAGAGGTAAGTAGGACATGAATCTTTTTTTTAGTTTAAAAATGGTATTACCTCCTGCTTATGATTAAGCAGTCCGCTGGCGTTCCACGTGGCTATTCTGAGTATGTTCACGGATTTAACTTTCCTATAACAGTGGTTAATAAGTTTAGAATCATGCTGTTCTGGCTTATTAATTGTGCAAACAGGCGTTTAAATTCGTTTAAGAAAGTTGAGCATTGGTTTTCGATATTTGTTGATGTCTCGGTTTGGCTGTTTGATTTTACTGCTTGTGCGTATGTTTGTTGATGATACTGAGGAGTGGTAGCTTGTTCTGCGTATGTTTGTTGATAATACTGAGGATAGGTAGGTTGTTGTACGTTTCTGTTTCTGTTGATGCATTCTTCTTGATTGATTAGTTGTGACTGGTTTGATTGGTGCTCTCTTGCGGTCCTATTTCTAGATGTTACCAAGTCTTTGTACACAGTACATCCTTTGTAGTTTGCAGTGTGGTCTCCAGAACACAGGACACATTTAGCAGTTGTGCTTTTTTGTTTTTTGCATATTTTGTGTCGTGCGACTGGCCATATTTTACGCAGTTGAATGGCTTTGAGCAGTACATTTTAGAGTGGACGTAGGATTGACATCTCGTGCACTGGATTATGTTTTAGTTCTTCTTCGGAGCCTCAACAGTTATTTTGATGTTGTAAAGGAATTCTTCTTTGAATATTTCTTTGTTGTTGTGTTGAGGCTCTAGATCTACAGAGAACAAAGATAATGGTTCCTTAGTTACTCTAGTTTTAACGTTCGTTACGTTGTGAACTTTATGACCCGCATTTTCTAATTCCAGTTTGATTTCTCCATTTGGGATGGAGTGGTGGAGGTGCCTTATGGCAACTCTGTAGGCTCGTTCCTCTTTAAGTTAGTATGTGTAGTGGATGATGTTCTCTTCTTTTAAGTGTTTTATCAATTTTCTATATGTATCTATTGTAAATGCGCTAACTTTGACAGTTTCATCTAGGAGGGTTCTGGTGTAATATGCTTCTTGTCCTGTTGCATCAGAAAGGCTTTTTATCATTTCCTTGATTTTTTTAATCTGTAGATGAATATCAGATGTGGAAGACCGCTACCTACACACAGAAAAACAGAAACAGAATAAACACACGAGACATCCATGCCTCTAGTGGTATTTGAATCCACGATTCCAGTGATCGAGGGGGCGAAGACGGTTCATGCCCCAGACAGCACGACCACTGTGATCAGCAATTTACTGAAATAACAACTAATATTTCTGCAGGGCACAATTGGAATACATGTAAACGAATATGTGACAGCAATGCCATCTTGAACCCAAGGAGGAAATCAGACAGGAGTTTTGGAGATCGTTCGACATGTCTGCGCCTATCGACAAATCAATCTATAACCTGTAAAATAACGAAACACAGAAGAACTTTGTAGAAAAGCTGTACTAATATGGCTTGCATAGGCTTTACAGTATCATATACACTGTAAAGGCAAAGCTACCCCTGTAACAAGCCACGAAGGCCCATAGGGATGTGAAACTTCGAAGCTCCCACATTTTCTAGTTAATCGTCTCACAGATGGCGGTGAGGTTGTCAGCCTTATACCACGGCCTCCCTTTATCCCCAGGAACATTCCTGGTACTTATTTCTATCAGAAGCTGAGTTGACCCCAGTGTCATAGTGCGGCTGGAAGGAATAGGGCAACTGAAAAATCCAATGACCTCGTCGGGAATCGCACCCGCGACCTTCCGGTTTGTAGCATAGTGTCTCAACCAAGTATGCTACCTCGTGTCCCTAGCAAACACAAGAAGATCATAAAAAGAAAGTGATCATGGTGTATTTCAAGTTATTTCCCCAGAATTAGTTAGCAGAAAATATGGAAAACTACGAATAGCGTGGAACACCGTGTAGTCCGGTAGAAGTTCATCGACGTTCCATCTTCAGGGTCGAAGAGGAAGCAAGCATCAAGTTCTCACACCGAAGATGGAGGCAGTATGTTCTTGGGAAACCACGATGAACTTCCAGCAGACTACAAGAAGGCATACATACGAAAATACTCTTCATATAACCGCAGTGAAAAGAACAAATTCGGTGTACTTCAAGAAAGCCAGCCCAATTCTTCTCAATGCATGCTACGATGGATGCCACAATGACAGGAATTGTACATGAACATGTTATCATGTCATCTGCACTTCGGAACGCTAAATAATACGCCACTTTAGCATCTACTTACACCAGATGTTTTCAGTGGTTGTAAAGTATGGTTTCTTATATAAAGAGGAAATAAATTACAAGCGTAGTTCGTTGAGACACTAAGCTACAAGCAGGAAGGTCGCGGATTCAAGTCCCGATAAGGTCATTGGACTTTTTTCAATTGACCTAATCCTTCCAGCCGCACTATGACCCTGAGGTCGACTAAGCCTCTAACAGAAATGAGTACCAGGAATTAATCACATAATTTTCCTGGGGAGTAAAGCGCGGCCGGCGCGTAAGGTTGACAATCTTACCTCCATCTTTGAGCCGTGTTGTGCCGCAAGGGGGTTATGGTAGCCTAACCCCTCGGGGCACTTGTGGATACCTCTCACTGGGTCAGGGGATATACAGTAACAACACGTTGAATGACAATTGAAGTGATCAATGATATAATTAAATATGAAATATCTATGTACATGTAGTGCACTACCTTAACCTAACCTAATACATGAAGTAATCCTAAAACTTCTACAATTCCTAAAACCTCTACACTTGGTTTACGAAATATCTACTGTATCTTTACTCCTTCATCTCGTATTACACCATTTAGAAAGGACTGGCAATTGTCCACAGTGACCTGAATATAGGCAAGTACTCACATGACCTCCACAGCCATAAGATGGCGCCGAACGTTGGTCCCTTCATGTCTGACACTAGCACTGCTTCTAGGAGCAACTACTCCTCCCAAAGTAAGGCCTTTCCCAGCCCTATGACTGGGGTTCTTACGGTGGGGATACACGAGCGCGCCGCTGCTGTAATGCAACATAGATCGAACGGGATTCGCGACTTATTCGCTCGGGTGTACGTGAGTTTGAACACGCGCAGCGCACGCCTCAAATGCCGCGCAGTGATCCGGTTGCTGTCGGTTTTTCTGACGAACACAAAGGGATTCGTTGCCGCAGTGTGGTCGGGTTCGGTTGCCATTTGTCTCGTGAAACGCGCACGCCTCAAACATGGAGTGGTCAGAAGATAT